ATCACGTAAATTCATATGTAATACAACCGAGAGTGATTCTCGCGTTCGTAATCTCTTAGCATCCTTTCTTCGAATAGATGAAATCCCCAATTTCAATTTTACCCTTATTTGCCCTCRATATATGCAGCGYGTGTTTCCCAACTTCAATTTTATTACAATTATGCCATGAATTTAATCTGGATCATTGATTAAAAAATAAATGGTTTAGATTAAGGTTGCATAGGTTGTATGAATGGTAGAGGGTGTATAATAACACCCCTCTATACATATATATATATATATATATATACATACATATATACATACATATATATATATATGAACCCAATCCCCCCTAAGTCTAGTGATATCATTTTTTGGAGTATATATATATACTAGAAGGGTGCTCGCACAATGCAACGAGATATATCTTTATTTTAATATTTCGTTTTATTTTTTTGTCTCTGTTGATATAATACGATTTATATGGTTTTGAGAAAGATAATGTTTTTACGGTTTAATGAATTAATTTATTTTCATCTTAACAATAAAAATTTATAAAGATAATGATTTTGTTAGAACTCAATAATTATCCCAATTATATTTTAGATTTTTTATATTTAAAATGATATGTTTATCATATACTTGATTATTTTTATTTGCAGTTAGTTAAACGAATTCAAAAAATAGAGTTTTAATAAGTTGTATTTACGCACAATTACTTGTAATCTTAAATTTTAAGTAATTATGCATTAATATACAATACTTCATACATAAAAAAAATATTTTTTTAAAAGCTTTTGTCAAATGCTTTATAATATAGTGTAGATATAAATATATGTATATAAATATATTTCTCCATTTTATTGAAGATGTTTTTTTTAATTAACGTGGATTAAAGTAGTTTCAACCTTTGTAGCCAAGCTAACCATTGTGTGGTATACCTGTTTAGATAACTGCTGGGATACCTATTCGACGCGGTTTTAGCCTTAAAAACGCCTAAACTCCCCATTTTCAGTATTCATCGCGACTCTTTAAGCATACAATGGAAGAAGAATCTCCTCGAATCGCCATAATCGACGCAATTCCATCAGCTGAGGAGTTTATTTCGCAAATTGAACCTAAAAACGTTCCTGTTGTAATCTTCTAATCCGTAGATGAGCAATTTATTTATAAACTATCCGTCTGATCGTTGTTACCGATGTTGATTTCCTTTTTCTTTTGGCTGATTAAAGGTCTTTCATGGATGCGTCAACGACTGGAAGGCTTTCAGCAAGTGGAATCCCTCGAATGGTGGTCTTGATTATCTACAGGTTTGTCTTCAACCGCTCGCCTAGTTTTTCAGTTTCAAAGCTAGGTGTATATAGTTAACCATATTAGGAGTTTGGACTGAAGCGATAAGCGACAAATACATGTCGATTCTGTCATAAGTCTCATTGCTTGATAGCGGTGTTGAGTTATTGTGTAGGAGTTTATTTTCAATATTGCCGATTGAGGGTTGGGTTTGGGTGAGAATGAAAGTTACTCCACTTTGGATCAATGCTAATTGAAGAGAAACACTAGAACACTCAAATCCCTTCTTTCATTTCTCACCTTTAACTTCTATTCTAACACGATCCTTCGTCTATTAATCGATAGGTATGAAGAGTTTTACAGAGTGGGTTTTGAGGCAAAGTTACCTTATCGACAACAATGTCTTCTTGACATAAGTCCATTTTTTCTGATCGGTGTTCTTACATTAACTAGCAAAGAGTGTGGGAGTTGATAGCTTGCAATTGCATATCTCTTGAAAGAATTCAGGCAATACTACTCTAGGAATTTAAGCGGTTAGTATAGGTCTGATTAAGGTATACAAAGGAATCCAAATTTTATGTTGCTGATCATGTTTTTTTCTTTCTCAAAAGAAAAAGGATACATCTACTAGTTGTGTGCCTATGTGATGTAGAAGGATGTAAACATTTATTATAAAATAAAAATGGAAAATTAATGCCACTGGAAAAATAAGATCCGAAAATTTATGTTTGAACATCATATAAATTACATATATCTATGATCATAGACATTAGTTCATTTAAAATATGATAAGATATCGCTCGAAGTATCTATCCATGGGCATGTCCTGTAATAAAATGCTTAATGATCATAGTTGATAATATCGCCATAAGAACGATATATATAGAAGCAGCTCCGTTGATTTGCATAACGGAAAGATTGCATCAATTAAACATCATTCGATTTGGCTTTATCAATTTAGGGGATGGCTATGTCATCACATGTGAATTAAACTTTTGTCCATTTGGTCTTCATCTTCATCACCGACCTGTAATAGAAAATCTGAAAACCATGGATCAATTAATGCTCTCATATTGAGAGTTAAACCACATCTTTTTAATCGAATACCAAAGAGGTGACATCCGTAGGCTAGAGTCTACAATCTATGTTCGGGTTCCATGACTAACGATCGTCAACACATGTCGAAAATCACCACTAATAACCATCATCTTTCCACCAAATGAGAGTGTCACCTTTATGATGTCTTGCGTTGTTCGATCGAGTGCCTTCACCACTTGCATCTTTGCCATCGACATTCGGTAGAGATGGTTATTTTTGCATCCTGAAGCAGTAAGTAGTTCTGCTTTATTGTTCTATGTTGTACACTGAGTTATTATCAAAATAGAAAAATCCATAGTATACATATATCGGGGGTAAACTTATTAATCTTAATGCGGAAGTGTTCAATGAGTTTGAATATGGTCCTTATGGACATTATAATCTTTCTACAATCTATGGGTAAGAATCTCGATTTTGATTTCCCAAAAGTAATTCCATATGAGAAGTTACAATTTGGGGTTTTCCTTGAGGTACAAGAGTACTCCATAGTTGTGAAACCAGACACTTGTGTGTTCGACTCGCATAATTCTAACCAGAATTCTGCATATGATGAGATCATGAGGCATGTGGGTGATGATTGTTTAGATTTGGCGAATGACATGTCAGGAAGAGAACGACTCACATTTGATTCAAGATTTTCTTCATTCTTGACAATAACTCTGTGCAACATAAACCAACAAAGCAAGACTACTCAATTGCTTCGGGATGCAAAAGTAATCGTCAAGGAAAAGCGTAGATGGCTAAGAGGTACATGGTGGAGGCACTCGATCGGACAATGCAAGATATCATAGGGGTAAGGCATGCCTTGTCGGTAGTGAGATATGACATTCGAGCACAAATTGTAGTCCCTAACCTCCGAATATCATCTCTTTGATATTTTGATTAAAATCATGCAGTTAACTCTCAATATGAGAGCAATCACTGATCCATGGTTTTGTGATTTTCTATTATGAGATGGAGATGAAAAGTGGTGGACGGAAGCTTTATTCACATACTTATGACATGACCGTTCCCTATGCTAAAAAAGCTAAATCGAAGGATGTTTCCCATATGTTTGTTTGAAGATGAAATGCACCCATTCAAAGTGAAGTTAATGAGTATTTCGTCTAGCTTAGCTTTTTCTTAGGCATTTCTTGCAGCTCATGTCTGCATATGGACCTTGCGAGTAAACATCTAATGATATTTTGAATGCACATATGTGGATTTATTTCATGAGTGAGGTCCCGGGTTCGAGCCCTAACACCGCTTCTCTGCCAATGGGATGCATGTGTGATTTATATTCCCTAATGAGTTAATGACCGCGGACCGGTGCAATGGGGACGCTCCAGAGGGTGGAGTTTACAATTTTTTTTAAAATTTCGGATTTCCTTTTTCAAATGAAGAGTTGTATTTTTAATTCTCGGTTGAATAGAATTTGACATCTCTTGGGTACACCCCTAGTATATATAAAATTTAAGGGGGACCCCTAAATTTACGAAGTTGATCAAGTGATGCTGGTGTCCTACAAATACTACAGGGAAAGATTTGTTAAACGTCTCAGCTAAAAAATATGACGATATAATTTGAACATGTCGAGTCCATCACTAAGGCGGATGTGGGTTAATAGAGAAGCACTTTACGAAATCAAGGATGATGCACATCAACTATAGTGTAATGCTTAGCGTATTCATTTTTTTTAAACTTAACATGACATCCCTCGACCATGTCTTGTTCTTCACTGAAACATAGATAAGTGTCCATGGTCAAGTTTATTTATAGTCCTGCTTCTATTAGTCATGTTCCATATGAGCATCTGGCATGCTTATATTATTATTATGTGTGGTATGGGCTTGAATATTTGTTCAAATTTACCATTTCTTATATATATATATATATATATATATTCATGGATATGTAGGGACTAGCTGGGTCGTCAACCGTGGAAGTGATGCTGTCGAAATCTGCGCCGGTCTTCTATGGAAACATTGGAAACCATGAGAGGGTATTTTTTTTTTTTGAGATTTGCATGATTTTGCTAAATATCTAAATAACTCGTCACGGCGCGTTATGGCACTGAGGCTTGGCTTTGCCGCCACGTTAACCCATGTGACTCCACTCTAAGGCTTGGCTTCCGTTGTAACGCGTTGTGGCGTCTTATGGCGTGCTATTTTGCAAGGCATGGGTTTTTTAATTAATATTTTTAAACATTTAACTTGAGGGATACATGCTAATTATGTACGACACCTGAGACTTGTATAAACATTAAAAAGGAACATAGAAACTAAAACCCTAAATAGGTAAATCCTTGCTCTTATTCCCGTGCACGAAGATTCCAACATGAATCCTCTGAAAATTGAAGAAAATAGTGAGTAGAGACTCGACAGATTTAATCCCGATTTTGCATGTTATCATTTTCTTATAAGTTTGATATAGATGGCTCTTCTTTTCTTTTTAGTATTATAACTCTACATGAATTTAAATTGTTCTATGGGGTTATTCAGAACACTAACACACACAAGTGTACATATACATACAAATGTGTATGTGTATGCCGCCCTGGGTCACGTCTTGAAGACGCCGTAGCCTCACCGTAACTCGTAAGGCTTGAGGCTTGACCTCGCCTCCACACCACACCTCACGTCATTTAGAACCTTGCTGAATATAGAGTTTATGCTTTTGGATGCCACTTACTGCGTGTTTTGTTCCTTAAATAGGTCCAGTTACCTTTATCTACCTTTATTGGCTACTGCAAGGATGTTTTTTTGCAAAGCACGGAAGGCCATGCTCTGTGTTCCAGTACAGAGATGCTTTTGCCTGCCAACTTTGAAACAGGACAAGACGATCCGCTGGTTGGAGACATTCGTCAAATATATTTAGCGCAGGTTGCTATTTGGTACAATCAGATGGGTCAATGATAAATATGTCTGTACTTTTGGTTTTTAAGAGGTTTCACTTTTCCATTGTCGCAGCAATGTTCTACTACCATTTAAGTGAAGACATTGGATCTTCTCTTATTAATTAACTTGGGGGCATCTATGTATATGCATACGATGCAAAATATGTGTATACTGATATAGGTACCAATTATGAATGTCGAGAAAGAAGAGAGGGTTCAGTTAGAAAGTCTTATAAAAGACATTCAGACGGTATGCCTATTATCTTTTCTGACTTCCCGGGTGATCTTGCCACCGGAGATCATCGTATTTTTGACATCTATACTTGCTTGATTTGCAGCCTCTATTTTTGGAGACGAAGACCTTGGCTTCTATTAATCTATGGATGAATGGAGCTCAAGCAAGATCAAGTACTCACTATGATCCACATCATAACCTTTTATGTGTTGTCTCGGGAAGCAAACAAGGTGTCGTCTTGTCGGTTATCAATGCCAAAACCTTTTAAATACAACTATGCATTGAACAATTAACATGTTAGAGCATCTCCAACAGATTCCACAAAATGGAGAAAATAGAGCTTTTGGGGATTTTGGGAATGTTCTTTGCTCCAACAGATTCTCCAAAACCAGTAGAAACTTTGAAAATTAATATTTAGAGATGAAGAATTATATTTTTATTAGATGAAAGGAATATTTCAATAATACAATCAATGTTGTAATCTCCAAACTGGAGAATCTGTTGGAGTTGAATGTATTTTTGTTTTAGAGATTTTGAAGTTCCATTTTCTCTTTTGGAGAAGTTTTGGAGAATCTGTTGGAGATGCTCTTACACGGGGAGTTTATCTTGAACCTCATGGTATAGTTTCATAAAACATAACACCTTATGGTGCACTAACATCTTTTTCTTCTTTCTTGTTTGGTTAGTTAATTTGTGGCCCCCTTCATCCAGTCCCTTCTTGTATCCAATGCCTTTGCATGGGGAGGCTTCAAACCACAGGTATTACTTTATAGGGCTGGGTTCCGGTGAGAATGTAAATTATGATGAGAAGGGTAAGAAGGGATCTCCACCCTTGGATCAATCCTATTTGAAGAGAACCACTAGATCAACACTAATGAGACACACTAGATCATTCCCTTCTAAAACGCAATTCATGGGTTGTTTTGGGATTAAAAGTGATCAAGGGTCCAAATCTCTTCTTACACTTCTCACCTCTTCTTACACTTCTCACCTTAACTCCTACTGATTCTTTGTCTTACTTTATATACATGAAGCCGATATTTATGTTTCTCTTCTACTCCTTACAAAGTCAAAGTACTTTGTAGAAATGAGTTCTAGAGTTTGGGTGTTCATTATATAGTTTGTGTTCTACCAGCGCTGTTCCGATGGATGAACCTGATATTTCTCTTCATCCAAGAGCAGAACACTCAAAAAAGTATGTGCAGAGGGTGATTCTCCATGCAGGTGATGCACTTTTCATACCTGAAGGATGGTAAGATTCGAAAAATCATGCATTCCTCTTCTAAATTTTGCCTGTGAAGTCTCGGTTGATTTTACTCTCAGACATTGGAGACAGTACTTTTTTACTTATTAATCTTAATGCCAAGAATAATAACCGAGAACAATTTGATTATAGATAAAATTAGATCAGTTTTTGTGTTACAGAGTCGCACGCAAAAGAATTCATCAGTGACCACCTCATTGATAGATACTCTAGATCTTTTCACTTTATACATGACTTTCAATGATGATCTTCTCAGCCTTCAACACAGTGAAGGACATTTTTGAATGAAAAGGGGTTTCAACTTTCAAGTAACTTTGACAAAAATTATTTATAAGGAAAATAGTTTAGGATAGAGGTCAGGTCTGCGTTCATCCCACCCTCCCCAGACCGCCTCCGCGTGAGATATATTAGGCTCGTTTGGTTTGGATAGTTGGGATTCTTTAAAAATTGATGGGGTGAAATAATTCAGCAGGGTTATCCAAATTCTGACATAGAGCACAAATAGTTTAGCTTGAACCTTATGTAGAATATGCACAATCTGAGGAAGCCTCGAATCATTCATTTCTTAACCACTGAGCTAACTATTTTCGTTCCGTGTTTCTTAATTTATATCTTTTGCCCAGGTTTCACCAAGTTGACAGTGAAAGTTTAACTATTGCTGTTAACCTCTGGTGGCGGTCTGAAATGATGTCTGGCATGTCAGAACACATGGATTCGTATTATCTGCGCAGGATATTGAAAAGGTATTTTCTTCGTTTCTTGTTTTTGTTTTTACATGTTCTATTAGCATACAGGATCTGATGTTTTTCATTCGTTCCCTGTTTCATGTCTATATCAAACTGGTAATCTTCAAGACTGACAGACAAAGAGATGGTATACACTTCTCAAATAGTTTCTATTCTATTTAAATATGTATTATGTCTATTGTCAACTTTAAATATAAGTTTATAGGTTTATTGTAAAGCATGACTTGTGTATTTTGTTTTTTTTATCATTTGTCTTCCCAGTCATGACTTGTGTATCTTCTTTGATGATTTGTACAGAATCGGATGCTGGGAAAGACTTTCCCTTGTGCGAGTAACAAGTGTTCTTATGAACAATCAGGTTAGTTAGTATTGTTAATATTTTATATCTGTTTGTTGTATTATACTACCATCGGCTGGGTATTTACAGTGCATCATAGATGATAGGGTGCAAAGTGTAGCCCTATGCAGTAAATATCATGGTTTTAAAAATCGTTTGAGGCGTATACCTCAAGGCGAGGCGTCCCAAAAACGCACCTGAGGTGGTTTGGACCCTAGATGAGGCTTACGCCTTGGTCCAGTGAGGCGGTTTGGTGAGGCGTGAGCCAGTGTCGAGTTGTACGCCTCGGATGATCTGCTTTGATAATGGTCTTTTGGCCTTCTTTTATAAGCTTTATGTTAATACTATTCTCTTTTATAGTATGAGTCTTATTATTTTAGCAAACTAAAAGTTAAAGCCCAATGGCCCTAATGTGTTGTGTATTTATAATATTTTAAAACCCAAAAACCACTGAACCAGCACCTCTTGGTAATTTAATATTATAATATATACAGGGGATGTTTCATTTGCAGACCATCTAACTCTAACAAACTATACAAACCATAATCAAAAGCTTATATTAGGAAACAATAGAGATATTTATGGACAATTCTCATGATTCATTAATTACTATTGAGATTCATTCATTATATTCATGGTGTAAGATTAGGTAACAAAATGAAACAGATACTTATGAATCTAGATGGACAACTAAGATTGGTTTATATGGTTTGTTAGAATTGGATGGATTGTAAATGAAACGTCCCCTATATATACCCAAATGTATATATATTTGTGTAGTATATATATACATATTTTGGTGTATATATATTTCTGCCTAGTTCTCGGACTTCCTTGAGGCTATCGGCTCGCCTCATTGCGGGAAAATGTCTTGAGGCCCGATTCAGCCTTTTAAACCCTTGGTAAATGTAATGGTATATTGGAACTGCTTCTTCCGTAAATACAACTGTATATTTTCTTCTTTCCCTTTATCTATGGTGCTGGTGATAATCTATTGGCCTTTTGATTTATTATTTTCGAATCATTAACGAAAATAATTTATTACTTGGTGATATATTTACCAGATGACCATGGCTGCAGTTTGGGCGCCAACAGCAACATCAAGGTTTCTGTTGGGAATAAGTTAAATGATGGGAATACGCTACGTGATCTAGAACCTTCTGCTCTCAGATCTCTTCATGAACTTGTTTCTTTAGTCCATGATCGTGTCAATGCTGCTGATTTGAGTAATGCAGTGGATTCAATATCTGATATGGAGAAAACTGGGCCCAAGAAAATTGTGATATCAGAATTGTATCACCTGGAGGATGACCCAGTTGCTAATATTTTTTGGGCTCTTGAACCACATAATCTTCAAAAATTGGTCCTTGCAATGGTGGTGAGCCCTAGCTTTTTTCCTAAATTGTGAACGGTTCTCTGAGTTTTATGTTGGTTTATGTTGCCTGTCATTCTAGCCAGAGTAAGGGGCTGTTTGGTTATTGTGTGGACAAAGTTGTCTGTGTGTATTAATTTATCTGCATAGATTTGGAAGGTTTTTGTTTGGGAGGGGTTTTTCATAGATGGAAGTAGGGTGTTTTTTTAATGGGGAAGAGAAGTTCGTTGAAAAACTGGGATTTCTGCATAAAGCTCCCCCTTAGAAGCTTACTGAATAAGCCACTTTCTATATCGTTAAGCCATTACCAAAGAGTCATGTATAGTTAACCGAATAAGTTGCGAGTCTTAAGCCTATTAAGCTGCTAACAAACAGACCCTCAACTCATATTTTTAATAATTTGGTAGATATTTTGTAGCAAATTAAAAAAATAATGTCATTCAGAGATTTAAGTCCCACTTAGAAGTGACCTAACGATGGTTTTATTTGTTAGCATCACTTCCCAAGAACATTGGAGGCTTTAGTATTACACTTGATTTCACCGGTTGGAGCTGAAGTTCTTACTCGGAAATTTGATGAGATGGATCAGGTAACTAATGAAGAAGAAAGGTAAGTATTTGTACCATCCACAGTTTGTTTCTCTTTATCCTCCTCCCCTAACCAATAAATAAGAAAAAGAATTATCAAGATTAAGGTTGAATTTTGATTCTGCTGCTTCCAGGAATGAATTCTACCGGGCATTTTATGGTGTATTTGATGATCAATTTGCTGTAATGGATGCACTTCTTAATGGAAAGGAGTCATTTTCTTGCCAGGTACAACATAAAGTTTAACTATTAGGTCTGTTGGAGTCCCACATCAGCTAGACATGGACCATTTCTCCTGTATATTTGTTGAACCTCCCTTTTCTCCTTGAGGCTCTTTTGGAGATTAATATGAGGTTTTGGCATATTCTAACATGGTATCGGAGCTCCACTCTAGGGACTCGACACTCTTACTAGCCCCTTCTTGACACCTTAGGACAATCTGTGTCCATCTAGCCTTGGGGCATGTTGGAGCCCCACCATACTTGGACCATTTCTCCTCAAGGGCTCTTTTGGAGATTAATTTGAGGTTCCGCATATTCTAACATGGTATCAGAGACTTGCCCCCTCTTGAGACCCTGGGACAATGTGTCCATCTAGCCTCTGTTGGAGGGGGTGTGTTGGAGTCTCACATCGGCTTTACTTGGACCATTTCTCCGGTATATATATTGGAACGTCCCTTTTCTCCTCAAGGGCTCTTTTGGAGATTAATCTGAGGTAGCCCATATTCTCCCACAAGGTGAATATCATGTTGAGAGGTGTCGCTCTATCATCTCGTTTATAGTCTATGTTCCTGGTTGAGTTCCATGTGCATTTTCTTTTTGCTTGACTCGTGCACTTGTATTCAACTACACATACAAGCATTTAATTTTCCTAACCATGACGGTATTTGATTTAGTTGGGATGTTCTGTGTAACATGCTTTTTAACTTGCCACAGGCATTTAAGAATGTTATGGATCGATTTTTGGGAGTTAAAGTTCAATGACCAGATACATCAGTGGAAGAAGACATTTACTGAAATTGGTCCCTCGAGTGGTCACAAAAATGCGGATTGGTACTTGCAGGTGGAAGCCTTTTCTCTGCTCCAGTACACCCCTACATGTGAGTTTATAGGTTCATATTCTCCCCTCCCCAGACACCGGACCAGAAATCCACCCTCTTTTCCCCGAATCTACTAATTTTTTCTGCTGATTTAATCTCTTGATTAATTGTGTCTTGTTAGTTCTAAAATGATTGTTAATCTTGCATGATCACCAGGAAATACTAATTTCTAGAACAGAGGTATGACTGCATGGTTCAACATGCCGATGCATTATGGGATCCGTTTTTATATCAGGTAAACCGTTTTCGATACATTTTAGGAGGTTTGTATTGTGCGATTTCGTGGACTTGTGAATAAAAGCTGCAATATGGTCGTCCCCCGATTGCATGGAACGATCATTCAAGTTATGAAATTTTTAAAAACATAGCCGTTGATGGTTCCCTTCCCTTGGGTAAATTTGAATCTTCTTTAATTCCCTGTGATCCTCTCTTATTTTCCTTTTGATCTTGTTACATTTCTGGTCCCATCATCTCCTTTATATACTGATACTTATTACAGATTATTTAAAATAGAGAAAACGAGGCTTTTATTTTCTGTTTTGCTCCAACAGATTCTCTATATGGTTTTCAAAAATAAAAAAAACTTTAAAAAACTTCAAGTTCAGAGAATTCTCTAAAACTTGATATGTTGCGAGATTTTTTTTATTAACCTGCGTATCCAATCCGCTATGCGAGCCGACTAATTTCACGGCGACACCTGCTTTGTGGGTAGCCCCGGAGTCACCGCATTTGAACCTCTGTGACCACAAGGGGATTTTTATTTCTCCTTGGATTTGAACGTGGAACCTCCAGGTATTTTTGACCTTTGGAGCCCAAAGCTCAAACCAATTAGGCATCACCTTTGTGGTTAAAGTTAATTTTGTATCCACTCTACCAATGAAAGTGTATCATTATTATACTATATATTTTTTTAAAGGTGAGATGATAATTTATAGAATATTTTAATAATATAATGAATATTGAAATCTGTAAAATGATAATTTGAGTTAAAATGTTATTCTTTTTATAGATTTTAACTTTTAGTTTTATATTATAGAGAAATTATAGATAATCTGTTGGAGATGCTCCCTGACCATCTGACCAAAAAGACCTAGTTTTTTATGAAAAGGTGTCCCATGCTATACGATGGTCCCGGCAAATTGTGACTGTAATACCACAATCCTGATAAAGTTAGTGACCCATAACAGATGGAATATTTCACCACATCCCTAGGTCTCAACCAATACGTCACAACCCGTGTGGTTAACGTATGGTTACTTCTACGTCTACTTTTGTATGATTCATCTAAAATTGTTTGCTTATTCAGAATAAAGTGTTCCTTTAGCATTTTTATTGGAATGATACTTGATTACTTAACTTGCAATGAGAATCCAATGGAATGTTTTGGTTGGGTTCAATGTTAGGAGCAGTGTACAATGCACATTGTGCAACTACTTTAAAGAAGAGTTTACACATACTGTGTTGTGGAAGATGTTCTGATACATTACAGTTACAGGTAAGGTATAGTACACTGTTGATGACAAAAGCATTGAGGAAGTTTCAACTGGAAAGTGAGTCGTGTAACAAATTCTATTTAGTGTACGCATAGTTTCTTTTTCCCAAGAAGTGCAAGTCTTAAATTCTCCACTTTTTACCATTATAATTAGTGAGCTACTAATATTGTTATGTTAAAGATGGGTAAAAACAATAAAATTATGATACCTTTATTACATTGATTTGAGAGGTGATATAAATAGAAACTAAGTGGTTGTTTACTAAACGCTTGCTCGGTAAATATTTATTTTACCTTATCCGATAAACATGACAAGAATTGAGAAGTTTATCCGATAAGAACGATGTGAGAGTAACGATAAATTGTGGCATATGATATTGTTTTAATGGACTAAAATCTTACCCGTAAGTTAGGAACTGTTTACCAGACACGTACCTAGTTACCCGGTAAGCGCTTACTAGTAAAATTCGACATTATAATAGCATCGTTTGTAACAATTTACCTAGTAAGCCTTAACTATGGTAAGAGTCATCAGACTTACCAAGATAATGACAAAACAATGTGACTTGGTAAACACTTAAAAAGATAAATGTTTGATAAACGAAGTGTAGCAAGAGGTAAGTATTGGGTAAATGACCCTAAAATAAACTTTGTTGTATATTGCCTTTGAAAACCTAAGGGTGCGTTTGGTTTGCAGGAATGTTTTTGAGGGATTTGGATTCCTAAGAGGGATTTGGATTCCATGGGATTTGGATTGGATTGGATTTGAAATCCATTCCTTTGTTTGGTTTGTAGGATTTGTAGTATTGAGAACTACAGAAATCGAAAATTATCGAGGATTCCTCAATCCAGCAAATTATCGAGAACTACAGAAATCGAAAAGGGGAAAGGGATTCACCTGTTGACCGACGGAGGCGGCGACGGAGGCGGCGACGGAGACGAAGGCGACGGCGACGGAGACGGAGGGAGACGAACGGCGACGAAGGGAGACGAACGGCGACGAACGGAGACGAACGGCGACGAACGGAGACGAACGGAGACGAAGGGCGACGAAGGGCGACGGAGACGGTGGGCGACGAAGGGCGACGGAGACGGTGGGCGACGGAGACGGTGAGCGACGACCACCTACGGAGGCGGCGACGGAGAGGAAGGGCGACGGCGACGGTGACG